ACCCTGCTATTTGCGGGGCCCTGCTTCCTTTCACGCGAGGAGAAGCATGAGAACGGGGCAGCGCGGTGCCCGAGGCACGGCAGGCACGACCCGGGCACGGTGCCTGGCAGGCTGCTCCTCTACAAGCCCCGGTCCCCCGACTGCCGCTCGCCCCGCCGCTCGCCACTGAGTTTGCTCTGCTCAGCATCCTCAGCCCTGCGGGTACGGGGGGGATCCGCTCCTTCCGAGAGCCACGGGGCTCTGAGGGCTGCCAGTGCCACTCCAAAACAAGCCTGTGACCCAACAGGTTCCCGAACTCTGCCACTTCCCAAGCAGGTGTCCTTCAAATCCCCCCGCTCCCCGAGCATCCCCGTCCCAGGCACGGAGCTTCCCGGGCAGCCCCTGTCCGAAGGCAGCCGGGCAGCGGGGCCGGCAGCAGGTTGGTGCAACGAGGGGCGAGGGGGCGGCCGGGGCTGGAGGCTCCGAGGGCAGCAGGTGGGGCACAGCCGCTTTGCCAGGGGCATCAGGTGGGCGCTGCGGGGAGCATGGAGGGGATGTGGCACCCGCGCCCTGCCCGTCCGCCCGGTGCGGTGCCCCGCTCCCATCCCGCCGAGCCCATCCCGCGGCCGGCACTTACCGGGCAGCCGCCGGCTGCGGCTCTGCGCCCCGGACCCCGACATGCGGCTGCTGCGACCGGACCGGGCCGGGCCGGGCCGGCCGGGGGGACGGGGATCAGTGCGGCCCCCCCGCCGCCGCCGCCGCTCTCCCAAGCCGCTCTGCGGGGCGGTGCTCGGCGCGGCACGGGGCGGTACCGGCGCGCCCATCACCGCCGCACCGCGGCCGCGCCTCCCGCTGCTGCCCCGCGGGGTCCCGCACCGCCGCTGCCGGGGCCGCCGGGTGTTCTGCGGCGGGGACGGGCTCTCCCGTTCACAGGGAGAAGCAGAAAGTCCCCGTGAAGGGTCCCCGTTCTCCATGGAGAGCAGGGTCCCGGCGCGCGGTACCCGGTACTTTGCTCTACCGGGACCCATGGAGTGTCTCCATGCAGGGTCCCTGGCCCCGAAGAAGGGTCCCTGCAGAGGGTCCCTCCCCACCAGAGCAGCCCCAGGCAGAGATCAGCGCCCGCAGTGGTGGGCTGCAGGTGCCCTGCCCCGGCAGGAGCTGTGCCCCGCGTGGCAGGAGGTGGGCAGGGGGAATCGGAAAGGCAGGGGCTCTGCCTGGGCGGTGAGAACAGTTACCATTCATGCTTGCTTTTTCTTTGCTTATCTTCTCAAAATCCCCAGCTCACGCATTCCCGCGGGAGAGAGGACAGCATGATATATTGATGGGCCCTCCCCATCTCACTCCTGGCCTTGTGAGACCCTTATCCCCAGCAGACCCCACTCTGGGGTGTTTTCTCCTCCGTTCAGCCCTGCACATCAGGGCTGCTCCTTGGCAGAGCCAAGGACTTGGCCGCCGCCTCCTTCCTGTGTCTCAGCAGGGTGAGTCAGTGCCTCGCCGTGCCCAGCGCCAGCTCTGCCCGGACCTTGGTCACTGCCAAGCTGGAATGGGGGACATCCACTGTGCCCTTTGCTGTAGCTGGCAGGGAGTTTCCAGTGTCTGTGGCGTGTCTCGCCTCTCCCGTTCTCAGTGTGTTCCTCTCACTGTCTGCATAACAAAAGATAACTGTGTACTGTTTGTGTCTCAGCTATATTTTGGCTGCTGTCGCTTTGCTGTCCCCCCTATATCTCCTGGGACCTCCTGCTGCCGAAAACTGGCTTTGTGCTGGGTACCCGGAGCCTGCACCCTGGGGCTGGCTTCAGCTTTCACTGTGATTTTGAATTTTGTCCACGTAAATATTTATCCCTATCCATAAGCACTCCCTATCCTTCCTGCCTGATGTTTGCCCGTAGTGTGGGATGCCAGTGCTGTGGTTTGGGGGACCAGGCTGGTGTAGCACGAGTGGGGGCTTATGGTCTCTGAGCAGCTGAGTGACCAAATCTTTGCTGGGTACCTGCCGGCGCTGGCTTGTTCACAGCTCCGTGTGGCCTCCGAGCAGCATCAGCCGGTCAGCACCGTCCCTGCTGCCCCCTGCCCTGCCCTGGCTGGCCCTGCCGCTGGAGGGGCGAGGAGGCAGGGCCGGGGAATTAGCTCAGGTCTCTGCTATGTGACGCGTCTGTGTCTTTTGGCACCAGGCGCTGCTGCGAGGCGTGGAGGCTGTTTGTGCGCACACGAGTTTCCGGAGCACCCCGAGGTCCCCAGAGTTCGCCGCATCCCGAATCCCCGCTGCGGGGACGGCACATGTGGGTGCTGCCCGTGCAGATGGACACGTTCCCAGGCCCTTCGCTGTCGTGGCCCCTTCATCCTGCCTTGCCGGGAGGGCGTTGGAAAAGCACTGATATCATCGGCACCGAGCCTGACTCATCCTGGCTCTTCAGCACAAGCCGTGCCGCTCAGCGGGGCACACATTTTATTCCAATTAAACCATTGCAAGCAAGCCAGCTCTACATAATGATTTTTTTTTTTTTACTCGTAGCAAAGCGTGCCTGCCCCGGGCCAGAAGGTGAGAGGGGACAGAAGTGATGCCGGAGTCAGTGAAGAGTCTCCACTTCTGGTACGGAGCTCTAAGAATAAGTATTGCTAGAAACCTGCAGGGTCTGTCTCAGCTGCTGCAGCATCTCTGCCTCCCCTGTGCCTCCAGTGCAGGCTCACAGCACTGTCTTGTGTCAACAGCCCTCGCCCTTACCGCAAATGCCCAGGTCACTAGCCCAGGGTGGAATGTCACCTCTTCTCTCCACGACACGGAGTCCAGCTCCTACCAAAAGACCTCAGGGGGGGCAGCATCAAAGTGCCCCTGTCATTGTGAGAAAATGTAAGGTGACTTGCTCCTCCTGCCCTTCCTGCTCAGGTTTTTCCCGTTTATTAGAGGTTTGGGAGGTGAGTCAGAGAGCTGCGGGGTGAGGATGGAGCTGGGGAGGAATCGGCAGCTAATGGGAAGGCAAACCAGTTCCAGGCACAGGTGAATCACTTGCTGGTGAAAATACATCGTATTCTCTGGGAGACGTGCGTGGATGGGGCTGGGAGTTAGCTGCAGTTTGATTCCATCAGAAAATCGTGGAGTCAAGACAAAAAACAAGGCAAGGCAAGGCTGCTTTTCCAGTAAATGAGGCGATACTTTGCAAAGGAGCAGCCTGCAGCCGGCAAAGCTCCAGCAACCCGTGGTCCTGTGGCTCCCTTAAAAGGGGAGATTTTAGCCTGGGACAGCGGGGAGACAGAAAAGCCATAAACACCCTCAAAGGAATGTGGCTGCGGAGAAATGAGAATCTCCGCAGGCGAGGCGAGGTGGGGGGAGCCTGGATGGGGTTTGCAGCACCGCTCCATGCCTGGAGCCAGCCGGTTCCTTGGCCATGCCCTGTCCCGAGGGAAGGACCCCTGTCCCAGTGCTAACAGTCCCTGTGTGGTGCTGGAGGAGGTTCCTGCCAAGCCCCGGGGGTGTCATGTCCCCACGTCCTCGGGCCCCACGCCATACAGACATCTCTGCTTGCCAGCTGCTGGCACGGGAGCAGGTAGAGCTGGGAGGTCGTGTGCAAGCAGCAGGACACCAGCCTCGGCCAAAGAAGGAGCAGGCAGGGCTGGTAGAGGGTGCCTGTCCCAGAGGAATTTCCTCTTCATCATATCCCACTTACTTACAGGCAACTGAGCTATACTGCACAGACTTTGCCCTTGGTGCCACGGAGCAGCCCTGTGCCCTGGGGCATTGTGCAGGCTCTTGGGAAGAGCCCTTGGGGATAGCTTGTCCCTTCAGGTAGCTGTGGGCATGTGGTGACACCTCTGGGCCAGGTTCTCCCCTGCATGTCCCGGGCTGGTGGCAAATGGAAAGTGCAGCAGCCAGTAGCCTGACTGAAATGATCATGCTGCTTGCTTTTCTTCCAGGACTGATGAAGGTGCAGCACGTGGCACTCGTCTGTAAATAAATGTTGTAGTTATTGTTTCTATTGATCTTTGTAAAGAAATAGTCTTTGGTTTTCACACCCCAACTATTTTTGCATTCGATTTGGGTGCATGCAGTGTTTGCAGAGTTGTGGTTTCCAATTGCTCTGGGTTGCTTGTGCTGGAGGTGTCTGGGTGTGGTGGTGCAGCTGCCCCAGGGATGAGGGTACCCGTGCACAGAGGAGTCCCACTTATGGATGTCCTGGTACTAGTCATGTTCATGGGCTGGTGCAAAGTAGTGTCCCCAAGAGCAAAGCTGTCACCAGCAAAGACAGGGGTCTGACACGACCAGCCACCACAACAATGCTACCAAAGAAGGCAGGAAACTTTCTGTTCCCCTTCCTGCTGGAGCCAAAGGGATTCCTGGAGCGAGAGCTGGGATCAGGCCACAGACATGCAAAATCCCAATTGATGGCACAAAGACCATATAGTCTTGGGAATTGCTGGAGCCAGGGTCTGGGCAGAAGGTTTTGGAGTTGTAGGTGCTGATGTTTAAGGTTTTGACCCTTCAAACACTCTGGGCTTTGCTTCCCACCCTTCATTGTGTTCTCCTGTGCTGTTCAAGAGACTCAAGCCAAGCGAAGAGATTCTCACTCTGCCCAGAATCTTGCTGCTGGCAATGGGCACTGTCGTATGTCCCCGATTCGTGTCACGCCCGTAGTGGGCAGCAGAGGCTGTGGTGGGCAGGGGATGGGAGACTTTGGGGTGAGGATGCTGGTACCGGGGCGCCATGGGCGCTGGTGCCTGGAGGTGGATGCAGAGGGCGGGCAGCGCTGGGTGCTGGCAGAGAGTCCCGGTGAGATGCGATGTGGGGAGATGAGGGGCTGCGAGATGCCGGCGCTGCGGGGTGAGGGGCTGGGGGTGCCCCTGGACGCTCATTAGCCACGGCCCAGCCCCCTCCTTAATTAGCCGCGGCCGAAGCCGCTCATTAGCGGCGACTGGGGACGGGTGCCCTCCCCGCGGAGGCGGGAGGGAAGGGAGCGCTGCCGGCCCCGGTGGTGCGGGCACCGGCACCGGCAGCGGGAGCGGGGCTGCAGCCCGAGCCCGGCGGAGGGATGGGGCAGCGGCGGGGCCCGGCCGTGCTGCTCCTGGCCCTGGGTGAGGGGATATCGGAGCGGGGGGACCGGGCGGTGTGTGGGGTGGCCCGGGGGAGGGGGCGATGCGATCAAGTGTCCCCTTCCTCCTTCTCTCCCGTCGTCCGGGCGGGGTTCGCGCGGCTCCTCTGGCGGGTCCCCCCGCCGGTCACTATCCCCCGCCCGGGGCCGCGGGTGCCGGTGTTGGGATGGCAGCGGAATGACTGGGGTCGGGTCGCCCCGTGTCCGCTGGGCTCTGGGCAGACCCCGACAACGCCGGCCACAGTCGGGGGGCGGCGGGGACTCGAGGCTGTCCTGTAGAAGGGGCTGCTCGCCGAGCCGGGGCACCCCGGGGCGGAGGTGGGCTCCGTCCGCAGACGTGCCGGTGCTCACTTCGCCCCCCGGTGCTGGCAGGGCACCTGGCCGGGCTGCTGGCAGCCGGACCCGCCTGCGCCGACGCTTACCGGGGCCTCTCGGACTGCGTCCTCAAGCTGGGGGACAGTATGGCCACGTACGAGGAGGAGGAGGGCATCGAGCTGCAGGGGCTGCGCCGAGTCTGCAGGTGAGTACGGTGCATGGCCAGCCTGGCTTTTGCCATTGCCCCTGCCTGAAGTCTCCTGCCCTCCTGAGTCCCGTGCCTGCACACACACGGTGCTCCCACATCTCACTCCGGTTTTACATAGACCTAGTGAGCTTCTTTTCTCTGTCCGTCTATCCATCCATCTATCTCCTACCTGTCTCCCACTGTAGTTTGTATGGCAGCAGTTTGTTCCTGGCAGCAGCTCCAGCCCCCAGCACTGGTCCCATCAGACCCTGCATGCCTGCAGCCAGGAAGAGCAGGGTTGGAGGGACCCGACCCGCTCTGCACCCCAGGAAAATCTCCCCTAGACCCCAGGTTTCAGGCAGTGCTCTCCCCCAGTGCTCAGCGCTGCAGGCAGCAGCCTGTACTGGCCACCACGTGCTGCCCTAAACAAGCTTTCTCCCTCCCTGTCTAAATCCTTCATCCTTGGATTCGTCCCAGCCCTGGTTTGCCCGAGTTTGTAGCGATGCCCTGACATGACGCTATTGGGAGGATGTTAACTTTAACAGAACTGAAGAAGAGCTTGGTAATGAGGGATGATGTTGGGCAGGTTTGGGGAAAGGTCCACTTAAAAAGCCGACGAGCAGAAGCAGCAAGGTGGATGCAAAATGTTTGCAGAGATAAATGGGGGCAGCTTTACATCTCCAGAGTGAGCTGTGTAGAGTGAACAGGAGTTAGAAGGAAATACAGACAGCAAGGAAAGGAAAAGCCACGTGCCTGGGGGCAGTGGAAACCTGGCAGAGCAAGGTGGAGGGCTGAGTGCCCTGAGGTCACGCTTTCTGAGCTGCTGGAAACCACCCTGCAGGCTGTGACCTGCTCTGTATTCCCCTTCCCCAGGAGACAGCCTGGATCAGGATGAACAGCCTCTTTGGGGCCTGCCTATGGGTGGGTTGAAATGGGAATCACTCTGGTTTGGACAGAATGGACCCTGCTTGGTTTGTTTGTTTTTTTTAAAGGAGGCTTCTTGGTATTAGAAAACGCCTTAATAGTCAGCCCAGCCCATGCCGCTGCTGGAGGAGCGATTCCGTTGCTGAAGCTCATGTGAAATGTGCGAGCTGAGTTTTTCTTACAGCTCAGAGGCACAGACCATCGCTGAACAGATCCTGGGATCTTCTCTGGCAGGAGGCTGATGATTTCCCAGCTTCCAGGAAATATTTCTGAATTATTTGCCTTTGATGCCCAGCCCTGTGGGTAAGGGATGGGCAGGAAGCCAGGAGCTGCTGTGGGGCTGGTGGTGTCTCAGCTCTGTGCAGTGCTGCCCCAGAGCCGGCCAGGCAAGGTGTGCACCAGCAGCCTCCCTGCCTGAGCAGATGGGGGCTGTGAAGGGTGAAACGCTGGGAATTGCCATCCCAGCTGAAAACAGATCCAGGCTGGAGCTGCCATTCCCCTTCACCTACCCCGAGCTTGTCTTGCCTGAAGACATGGGTCAAGTTTAACTCTTACCTGTCAGAGCTGCCTGCTGCAGACTGGGAGTGAGTACTGGAGGTTGCCAAGGTTGGCACCAGCTTTTCTCATTATCTGAGGACGTTTATTCTGCCACACTGACTCAGTTTAATGAACTCCCTCACAGCTGGCGTTCTGACGTAAGCCCTGAGTCTAAGTAAGCAGAGTGCTCAGGTTTGCTTGCCTGCACGAAGTGTCATCTCCAGCACAGTGCACTCACACAGCACCATGCTGTCCTTTTCGGGTGCACAGTGTCCCCTCTCAGCCAGCTGGGCTGCATCCCCTTCCTGGCGGGTGGCATGTGTGCCTGGTGTGTTGGCAGACACTGGGAAGGTGTCAGAGCAATTGCTCCTGTCCTCCAGACTCGTGTCTTCCAGCTTGCGGGGAGCTGGGCATGGTGCCCAGCCCCAGCCTATGTGGGACAGGACAGCAGAGCAACTCCTGCTTTATTCCTGCAGCATCACAGGTTATCTTTGCTTGTTTTGTCTTTTCCCTCTGGTACTCCCCAAAAGCTTCTTTCTACTAAAAAGCTTCTACTTGTGAAAGTAATACCCAGCAGATAAATGGAGATGATTCTAATGAGAACACAGTGAATAACTCCTCCTGCCCCTGCCCGTACCTCAGGAAAAGCTGTGACAGCCTGTGGGAGCTCTTGTCCTTCTCTGTGCTTTGTGCTTCCATTTGCCCTTGACTCTGCTTGGAGAAAGCTCTGAGAAAGTGATGAATGAGATGTGCTGGGCCTTTGTTTGCAGCCTGTGTGAGGTACTCAGGGAAACATTTGTTGATGGAAAATAATGGATTTTATTGACTTCAAGAGAAAAGGGAGGGGGGGAAATGAATAAATAATTTTAGTGTTTTGAGGCTTGGAGTTTTAGCCAAGATGCTCTGGCAGATGATGGAGGGGATGAATAATCTGGGCAGCTTGCACAGAACACGAGGGTTGCTGCTGCTCAGAGGACAGGCTCAGGGCAGCAAGGCTCTGCCAGGCATCCAGTGCTGTGGGAGTGCAAAGGGACTGACAGTGTGGTGTCTCCCTGGCTGCAGGTATTGGGATGAATTCCACACCTGTGCCCTGACGGTGCTCTGGGAATGCCAGAAGGAAGCAGCAGCCATCTGGGAGATGCTGAGAAGGGAGTCCCGAAAAACCAAATTTCAAGGCAGTTTGTTCGACCTCTGCAGCCCCAGCATGGCCCAAAGCTTTGCCTGGACCCGTGTTCCCAACATTTCCATCCTCAGCATCCCCCTCATCGTCACTTGGATGAACTTATAAACTACAGCTCTCTGAGTATCCCAACAAAAGTGGTGGCAGTGTGTGGCATGGCATCTTTCAGATCTGTTTTCCAAACCTTTGAGGAATACACTGTGTGGAGCTCAGAAACTCCTGGCCCCATCCTGCGCCTGTGAGACATGGAAGAGCTCGGCAGCATCTCCAGGGTGTGGAAATTTCTCTGTAATTTGGAATAACTCCTGTCCTCTTCTGCCTCAAAGCACAGGCACAGATCTGGCTGTTGGAAGATTTGGGAACTTGTAAATACAGGGCACAGGATTTGGGGAGAAATGATAAATTCTGGAACAAGGATGAATGCTGGACATTTCTGCACTCTTCTAATGGCAACTGGAATTTGCTGACTCTTTCCACCAGATCAACTCTCAAGGGTTTTGATTTGGGCACTCAGAACAAGATGGGTATTTTTCCCACTGCTCCATGAGGTGCAGGGGATGGTGTCTGTACTGTCACAGGCTGAAGGGAGACCTTACCACCCTGTACTGGCCTTTTATCTTTGAGGATATGGTAAAACCCCTGCTGAACAATAATCACAGTTGCATGCCTAACTTCTGTGTTATGTGTAAATCCCTTTTCTAAGGACAGAGGTGAAAAATATTTGTGGGGACAGGGAATATCAAGCTAGGAGGACAAAAGGGNTGGTGTCTGTACTGTCACAGGCTGAAGGGAGACCTTACCACCCTGTACTGGCCTTTTATCTTTGAGGATATGGTAAAACCCCTGCTGAACAATAATGACAGTTGCATGATTTCTCTTGCACACATCTGAATTCCTAACTTCTGTGTTATGTGTAAATCCCTTTTCTAAGGACAGAGGTGAAAAATATTTGTGGGGACAGGGAATATCAAGCTAGGAGGACAAAAGGGATTTATAGCAACTCTTCTGCTTTAAAGCTTTCCCCAAGGTACCTGTAAGCAGCTGTGGGTAGAAGTGTGTAATTCCAGAGTATTAAAGTTTGTTGTAGAGCCAACAGCATGGCAGAAGTTACTTGTCTTGGCTCTTACTCAACAGCACAGTCTCCTCTTGTCTCCTTTGTGGCTCAGAGTGTTGTCAGTTTTGCTTCTTCAGTACAAGCATGGAGTATTTGGAACAGAGAGGTGTTTGCAAGTGATTTCTGAGTACGCTGGAGAAACACAACATTTCTTGGCTAGCGCAAGGCAGTCTGTGTTTTAAGGATGTTGATGGATCTCTGTGCCCTGCCTGGCTGCACAGGGCCATGGAGTGTGTGCTCACAGTGTGAGCAGGGAAACCAGGGCCCTGCTAACTCCTAAGATCCCACCAGATGCATTCCAGGCAGTGGGCAAGCTTCTAGAGCAAAGGATCTTCTTCCTATGAGTGGTGTTGGGTCATGCTGCTTTCCTCTGGCATTCACGTGTTCTTCCCCTTACATTCACTATCAACACTCTGTCCCTGCAGCAGCAGTAGGAGATAATGAAGAAATTGGGGCAAATTCCAAGAAATAAGCCAGGGCAGAACAGCTGGTGTTCAGACTGCCCTTCAGTGCACAAGTTGTTACTTATGTATTCACTCAGCCTCTGGGGCACAAAGCCTTAGGGTAAATCAGAGCATGGTAAAACCTGGAAGTGAACCACTCAGATGCTTCATTTTTTTTCTTCTTACTCCATGCCAACAGCACTGTTTGTTGCTTGATCCTATTCCCCCCTTCCCTGTTGCCTCTTGTGGCTGGGGAAAACTAAAGCAGGGGAGAATCATGTACAACAAATCCTGTACCTGTTCATTGTTTAGAACAGCTGTTTAATGCCTTTAGGAAAAGAAGTAAGCACGGCCCCCGAAAATCCGACAACCCTCGCCTTCTCTTTGAATTTGGCAATCCCTCTCTTAGAATTTTCTATGTTGAAACAGCTTTGGGGAAAGGGAAAGAAAAATTATCAGATCTGCAAGAAATCTTTTTGCAAAACCATGGATGCAAATGGCTGACTGTTACTGCCACTGTCTCTGAGAAGAGCAAGTCTTGGGACATAGCTTCCCTGGAAGCAAATCCCTCAACTATTGCACACAAAAAACCCTCCAAAGATTCATTAAGAAACAAAGACCATCTGCCACTGTTCTGGTATGGGGAGCAGATTTTTATTTTTTTTTTTAAGCCAAAGGTGCTTCTAAATCTGACTGAAAGCATGTGAGAGAAAACTAGGTCTCACAGTATGGGAGTGATGAGTTTCCTCAATCAGTATTTCATTTTTAGCAGAACTTCCTCTATGAATAGGACAATTTCAGTAGAAGTCCTTTTTAAAAAAAAGTTATACACAGACTCATTTCTCCTAGGCTGTCAGCAGCCTTTCAGAAAGATTTCTGATCCTACAGAATACTTCATGCTGATGCAGTGCAGCTCCTGGGATATCCTGCAGCCTCCGTGTTAAATCCCCATTTGTCAAGGATTCTTCTCATGGCCTCACTGTGAGTTTCTCCAGATACAAAGCTGTCCCCAAATTTCACTCCCCCAGCCAAGCTGCTGAAGAGGCTACAGCTTGTGTATTCCAAAAGAAATGGGTTACGTGTTCCTTAGTCCAAAGTCTGCACCTTTGTTCTCACAAGGGAACAAAGGTGGCAGCTCTGTTAATACAGATCCACAGAAACTCTGGGAGCAGCTGGAAGAACATGGCTTTGTCTCCTTGCTCTCAAATTCACTGTAATTAATCTTTAGCTCCCACTTATCTCAAGAACAGCCCCGAACATAGGAGTTCACACCAAGCTTTGGTGTGGTATTAATCCTTCAAGTAAAGCTGCAAACCTTCCTTGTCCCTGCAGGACTGGGATGTTCTTTCTCAAGAATAGCACCAAGAAGCAGCAGAGGACAAAATGACCCTGAAGGAGTCTTAAAACATGACTAACAGCACGCTACCCTGAGGCAGTCCCAATCCCAACACAGGCACACTCGCTGCTCCTTTCTGAGGGAGATACTGGCACCTACTGGAGACCAGTTTATATCCAGGCTGAGGTGACTGGGAGAAAGGCAAGTATACTTGTATGTAAAAAATGAGAAATTTTGAGGAGGAATGGTCTTGCTGCAAGGGCAGCCCTAGGAAGTGACCTCGGGGTGGCCTTCCAGGCTGGCTCCTGCCCAAACTCTCGTGTAATTTCTTCTCTCTGAAAGGCTGCTGCTGTTTGAAACTCTGCTTGCAGGGGGGCTTTGGTCAGGAAGGGCTCCCAATGAAATCCCCCAATATAAAAAATGGTGGTTACATTTGTTTAGACAGAAACCCTCCTCTGGAGACCTGCTGAGTATGTATAGCAGCAGGATGTCATCCTGCCCAATTTACAGTATCTGAGTGTGAGAGCAGGGACTGAAATACAGCTCAGCTCCCTAGTAACAAAAAATCAAAAGAGCAGCTTCAGAGAGTTTATCATCCCACCACTTTCCAACAAATTCGATTAACAAACAATTTATGCAAATTAAAACTTACAAATATTAATATACAAAGGGAAGTTACTGCAGCAAGATGCTGCACAGGAGAAAAATCTGTCCCTAGACCTGGCTTTGCCCTCGTTTGGGATTGCACAGCATGGCCATCCCTCAGTGGAAACCAGGCAGGATTTGGGCTGCTTGGGCTGCTGGATCTGGAGGAACCACCCAGCTCTGAACCCTCAGCAATAAGAGATGTCCCTGCCTGGTGAACTTTATTTGAAGGGCCTCTAAATATTTGAAAAATAACAGCAGTCTCTTACTTAACATCACCTCTACCAGGCCAGATGTGTTGCTGGACTGCTGAAGCCTGATGGGAAAGCCCATCCAAGGGGGAACAGCATCATGGCTCCAGGACCCTTTTGCAGGTTTCTCCAGGGTAGCTCCAGGATCAGGCTGGACATGTGGAGATCCTGGGCTGCTGACATTCCCTCTGAAGTGGGATGACTCCCCAAGACAGCACTCAATGATGCCTTCCTTTCAGAGCAGAGGTATGAAATGTTTATTGTAGGAAATTTTATGCGCCCCAGACAGTGGGCACCTCACAGCCAAGTGTTCTCTGGCTGCAAACTTCTGTTGCCATGATACAGACACTTGTGGTATTTCTTGAAGTGCTTAGCTTCCCTGGAGAGCCGTAACACTCACAGCAACATTATATTTTTATTATTACAAAAGATTTCTTCAGCAAACTGCTGTCACCTCTGTGTATCAAACATGGAAACAGCAAACAAACCCATCTAACGTTACAGGTTATTTAGTGTCTCAGCTGGTGATTCTGGTAAGTACAACTATTTTCTTTCTCCCCATCCATTCACTTCCTTGACTCTTTTCCCAAGCAAAGCCCAAACAAGTCACAGATTGGAAGCAGCAGCTCCCAGCCCCACTGCTCACCGTGCCAGCTCCGGCAAGAAGAGCTGATCATTGTTACCCATTCAGGGCACTCCCACATCGTTAAATTCCAAATGCTCCTCACGAACCAAGTTTTGCTACCTGGCTTTTAACAGTCTCATGAGTGAAGAGGGCACGCTCTCCATACAGTCATATTAATACTTTGTGTTAACAAAATAAACATCTGCTCCTCCTCCGTTGTCAGCCGATGCCAGAGGAGATGCTCACACTCATGCAGTCACTGAGGTCCAAAAAAAAAAAAAAAATCATAAAGTCTAAACAGACCTGCTGTGCTTCTTCAGGGATGAGATTCTGAGGCATTGGATGCATTGTGCTGGGAACAATGACAAAACGCAGCATGTAGTTGCCAGAGGCAGTCTATACGTTGGATTTGGGGGCGGAGTTGAGCGGGATCTCCCGGAGCTCTATTCTCATGCACAGGTACTCCCCGATGGCCGCCATCAGCGCCGTGCACACGATGTGCACCAGCCACCACGTCAGCGTCGAGGGGAAGCGAGAGTTGTAGATCCAGCAGCCCAGCAGGTGGAAGAAGTGAACGGTGACGGTGAAATCCAGGCACTGCTTCCCTCGCCGGATGAAGTACAGCAAGCCCAGAGCACTGCAAAGTAAAGATAAGAGATTAATGAACTCCACTAGACTAATGGAAAAGGTGGTGCAGCAAGAGCTATCAGCAGTTGTCAGTGCTGATTATGTAGTGGTTTTAAAACTTCTTCAAATATTTTAAGAATAGGTTGTTTCTGACCTCTCCCCTTCAAAACCTTACTTTTGCTTTTGAATTACCTGACAGCAGGAAAATGGGATTTTAGTGCAGAGAACAGGTGGGAATTTATAGACTATTTCCTCTAGTAATCTCTGTGCAGTGGCAAAATACATTACTGTTTATAGATCAGTGTTTGCTGAGATCGGTTCATTCTAACTTTTAGTAAAATCTCCCACAAAAGCAAATCTCATTCCCAGCTGGGAAACTGAGGGAGTGAAGTGAAATGACTCTTCCAGGTTTTAGAAAGCCAAGAGTCAGCAGTTCTTCACTGCCCTCAGCAGACATGCTGAAGAAGACACAGGGATTTTGGGAGATGTTTGGAGAGAGGCATTACATCACACTGAATTCTTTTACAGCTTAATGGTAGAAAAAGACAAGATGCAGGTGCTCCAGCTAGCTGCAGACTTACCAGGTGAGTGCATTGAGGATGAAAGCCATCATGGAGAGCCTCCCCGGCGGGGTTGAGAAGCCTAAAATCTACATGGGACTATTAGTAGGAACCCGCGGCACAATTCGCAGCCCGAATCTCCCGTGGCACAGCCCTGCATGGATCAGGATCTACAGGAGGAGCTGGACATGTCTGTCTGTCTGGGGGCACCTACGGGAAAGGGAAAGGTCTGGTTCTGTGCTGAGGGGAATCACCTAAACTAGGGGTGGAGGGTATCCAACCACACTGGGGTTATTTCCAGGAGGTTTGTCTTTATACCAGGAGGACCTATACAGGGTATCTCTCCACAGGGGTACCAACCACCTGTACAGGGCGTCTGTCTCTACATGGGGGCTACCACCTCCCAGGCACCGAAGTGCTGTCTCTGCCCCGGGCTAGCAACAATTCAGAGGGAGGACTTTACCTCCATAGTGGGGCACCTACACAAGACAGCAGCTCTGTGTACTGGGGGGCTGCTGCACGGGGAAGGGGAGCTCTGCCCACACCGGGGTGCTCCCTGGGCGGGGGGCTATCCCTAACACCGGGGTGCCCACACGGGAGCGGGGTCTGTGTCCCCCAGGAGAGCCCCACCAAGTCCCCCCCGCTGCAGGGGCCTGTGCCCACGGCGGCTTCCCGGGGCGCGCCCTCACCTCGTCGCTGAAGACCTGCTGGAGGGAGGGCCCGGTGCTGCCCAGGGTGCCGAGGAGGGCGAGCCAGAGCCCGAGCGAGCTGTAGTATCCCGCCTGCAACAGCACCATCTGCGCCAAGATCAGCGCGGGGTCCCACACGTAGCTGCGGAACTGCGCCGCCATCGCCCGCCCGCCGCCCGCGACGGGAGTGCCGCCGCCGGCGCGCCACAGCGCCCCCTGCCGCGGGGGAGGACCCGGTGCTGCCCCCCGAGCCCGCTGGATCCTGATCCTGACCTCGCTGAATCCCGGTCCTGACCCATCTCGATCCTGGTCCCGCTGGATCGGGACCCCGACCCCCCTGGATTCTGATCTCGCTGGATCCTGGTCCCGCTCGATCCCGACCCCGCTCGATCCCGGTCCTGACCCCGCTGATCCCGATCTCGACCTCGCTAGATCCTGATCCTGACCTCGCTGAATCCCGATCCTGGTCCCGCTCGATCCCGATCCCGCTGGATCCCGACCCCTCCCGCTCCCGACCCCCGCCCGCTGCCCACGATTCCCAGCTACGACCTCCTCCCCCCCGGCCGTCTGTGCCCAGTGTCCAGCCCAGCTGTCTCACATCTGCCTGCCAAGGGCGTCCCCAGCACTGTCCCCTGCCCTGGCTCGGTGCCTTCAGTCACTTGGCCAAAAGTGGCTCAAAGGACACAGAGTACCCCATGCTGCCCCGCACGCCTTCTGTGATCAGCTCTTGGCTGCGGGGTTCGGTGTGGTGGCCTCAGAGAGCCGCGGTGTTTGCTTGGCTTCAGGTGTGAGAATTGTGGCTGTGTGAATAGTGGAATTCCCAAGGCTGTGTGGGACAACAGAGGATTTGGGAGACAAGGCTTCTCCAGCCCCTGTCCCTTCCCATCTGTACTGGTGTCAGTGTGTCCAATAACTTGGCTGAGCAGCCTTTGCTAAAAACACAAATACCAAACATACAAGAAATTATTGTCCTCGGGTATTTCCTTTCATTTCCAGGCCCGTTCCTGTAAGCGCTGAGGCTCTTGGCGGCTGCTGCCCAGCTGTGCTCATTTTAGCTTTAGGCCATCGGGTACCAGGATGTTGTTTTGAGTCCTGGTATGCCCTGGCAGCACCTTTCCGTTACAGGGCTGGGCTGGCTTCTTCTGGGAGGCTCCTTCTGGTACGTGCTTATTTCTTCTATTTAGCCTCATGAAATGGCCAGGTGCCAGACAGCCTCGTGCTCCACTGTGCCCCTTCTGTGATCAGCTCCTGGCTGCTGGGGCTCGTTGTGAGCTGTCCTGCTTGCTTGGCTTCAGGTATAGGAATTGTCAGTGACTTAACAGCAAAATCCCCAAGGCTGTGTGAGACAATGGAGCATTTTGGAGATAAGATCTTTTCTGGAAAAAGGAGAGGAGGCACCCCCCGGGCTATTTCGGTGGACTGGGGAGTTGCCGCAAGAGCCATTTTCACCTGGAAAAGAGAGAAGGAATAAAAAGGGGATTCCAGGTTCTGTGGGAGGTGGTAGGCTCACATCAGTCGTGGGTGTGGAATATTTTGGCTATGGGAACTCAGATTATGATCTCTGACAGGCTCTCATGACGTTTTTTCCATGCCTCTTATGGGAAGTTCCCTATGAAGCTTTGCTGTATGTTTTCCTTTCCTCATTCTGTGAATTTCTGTGCTGAGCCAGGTTTGACACAATTTGTTCCCTGTTCCCGGACCATCTCCTAGGAAAGATTGTGCAAGGCAGAAGCACATGCGTGGTGGACGTGGGCCACTATTGCTGAGTTTTCACTTAGGCCTTTGGAGAATTTATTTTTGCAGAAGCTCCAGCCTTAGCCAGTGCAGAAAAGAACAGGGGAAAATCCCAGCCTTGTCAGGGCTGTCTGCTGCCAACACATTACTGAGCATAAATTGTGACACTCAACACTTCCTCTTGTAATTCTTGGTAGAAATTGGTTTCCTTTCATGAAATCTGCTGTGTTTGGCTCTCAGAGACAGGCAAGCCATCGCTTAGATATTAATTCTCACTTAGCTCTTTCTTTTATAGTCCCTCACAGGACTAACATTCCTTTGCCAGCAAAACTTCTGGACTAAAACTCCAAGCTAGTGTAAGGTAGGACTGTTGGTATCATTGCTGGTATAATTTGTCTTTCCACAGCCAAATATCTGATTTATCTAAAAGTCCATGGTATCACAAGATGCAAGCCGGTGTTTTAAAAGGTGTTGACTTGAATTGCTTTGGAATTTGAGGCTCCTCCCTGCCTGGTGGCTGCCCTGTCTGAAGGCATCGAATAGCCAAGGCAGCAGCGAGCCTGAGGTGTGAATTGAGGCTCCCTCCTGCCCTGGGCGGGCAGAGTCCTCATATGGACACAGGGAAGTGCTGTGGCACTATGACATCTGTGCTGTGACTCAGCTGCAGCCCAGTTTATGAACTTGTTTCCTGTCCCACTTTATGAGAGCATCTTTCATGGTCATGTTTGTTTGTTCCTGCTCCCGATTTGGCTCTCTCTCCTCTCCATGCTGCTCCAGCATAGGGAACTGTGTCCTCCTGGAAAAGAGGGTGTTCTCCCTACAGAGTGCCTTGCCCCACACCTCTGCTCTCTGGAATAAGGTTTAAAGTGGACCTGCAAAGCAAACAGTATTGGGGAATTAAATGGCTTTCTTAATTTCTCTTTTCTTCCTCTTTAGTTTAAATAAAAAGTTGGAGACATCTGTGAAGGAAATGTGCTAAAGAGGAAAAGGATGTTGAAACACAGAGACCATGATTTCTAGGATGCCAAAGTGGGTGTTGCTCGCCTGACTTCTGGTTAGAACATCCTTTTTAGCCAATGACTGTTCTGTGTGTGCCACCTGCATGTTGTGAGGAGCAGCAGGTGGAAGGAGAAGTGACGATATGCCCAGGACATAACCAGTGACTTGAGGGTGTACCCAGATCACATGAGACTATTGTGATCACTTCTTTATCAGGAGTGTAGAAAAAGAATATCCTATTTAGCCATCAATTCTTTACATTAAAAATAGCTGTCTAGGAGGGTATTGTTTTCCTCCCCAGGAATTGTGCCCTAAAACAGGAAGCTGTTTATTTAGGTGATCTGTATTTTACCAGCTGGTGTACAAAGGGTGGTGCTGTCTGAATGACTTTTGCTGGAGTTCATTTCCCTCTTGATAGGAAAGTAGGAGTTGTGCTAAGGTCACCTTTGCTGAAGGGACAGCAAGGCTAAGAGTACACATTTCCAGAATAATTCAACATTAGGTGGCTCAAACCACGGGATGAGAGTTTTGAGTCACTCCTCTTCCTCCACCCATGTGGTGTGCAGGTGTGTTTTTCCAGTGTACTGAATGGACTTCGGAAGTTGAGATTTTTTAAAAAACTCTACTTAAGGTTTCTTTTTGCTTGAGAATCTTGCTCAAAGCTCTTTTTAAAAAATTTGCCTGTAGGAACTGTGCTGAGCATGGCTGGAGAATCTCTTTTCCTGATCAGTGCAACAGAATATATGATCGAGTTGTCTAAAGGACCTTGTGTGTGGCCTTCTCAAGATTATCCTGACATTTCTTGATGTAAAAATGTGATTCCCCTCACCCTCCAAATGTGTTGGATTTGGACACTCCATTCCACTCCCAGCATGTTTGTTTTGTGTTGGTAACTGACAGCTGTTTATTTTGATTTTCAACATGAGGCTGAGGTAATCCTTCACCGTTGAGCACTAGGTTGGGAACAATAATGGCCAGCCTGTGTTATTTCTCTGCCAACTGTAATTTTTATATGGAGAATGCAACTGACACACCTTGAATGTGAGAATTCATTGCCCAGAACAAATGTGTTTCTCAACAAGCATTTTATTTTGCTTCTGCTTCTCTCCCTTGTGGTGAAGTTTCAATAAAGGACATTTCAGTTGTGCATTTTTGCTCTCTGGGCCCATTTGTCCTGTTGGTCTCTCTGAGTGCCATATACCCACGGATTTTCTGCATTGTTCCAGAGAGGAGAATGTCAGCATTTTGAAAGGGAACACTTGAAGGGCAAAATGAAGGCAGCTGTTCTATGAGTTTACAGAACCATATTATGATTTTTATGACTGCATTTTCTCTCATTCTCTTGAGATACAGTCACAGAACGTTTCTGTGTGTGTGAGGAAGGGAGGTGGATCTACACAATGCACTTGAAAAAATATCAGTAAAGTTACAGGAATTTATTCTCAAGTTTGAAAAGTACATTAACGTTCAGTTTAATTTTTTCTTCTGTTTCCAGAAGCCCAAGATGGGTTTGCCTGAAGGACTGTGCACGCAGGTGTGACATGGACAACTTGTGTGGTCCCTGGGCTAGGCAGACTGACTCCTCTCCACCCTATCGCAGCAGAACTTCCCTGGCAGGGAAAGCACTGTCCTGTGCCATGCAAGGGGATTTTTTGGTGGAAGGGGTATGTGTTGAGGGTATAATAACCAGGAGCTCGGCATATTGTGCTTGTTTGGAGAAGAAGTTAACAGCTGAGTGAGCAATATTTGGAGCCACAACACAGACAGCTGGTTTTGAAAGCATCTTTGTGGTGGTTGCTTTACCTGGAAGGACGTGCAGTGAGGTCATGGCCACATGCACACAAATACAGGTGACATTTAGAGGGTTTGGGGGCATGGAGTACTTCTGGCCACCTTGTGCTGCTGAGGCTGTCTGCTTTCTGGCACAGGTCATGGTATAGACCATTCTTTGCACATTTGACTCAATCTGTGTGCTCTTGTTCCTCACCATCTGCTGCTCCCCACCTCTGCTGAGTGTCCAGAGCTGGAGATCTATGGGAGCTGGGCTGCACCAGCAGTGATTTTTATCAGTTCCTCTGTGTGATGAAGTGAGAGTAATAAGGCAGGGTAGTAATCCAGCACAGATCCCTCCCTCATGGCCTTGGATGCTGAGGGGAACTAAAGGGTTAGTGACACATGGCTGTCCTGAGCAGAGCAGGTCAGCAAACTTCCCCACATCCTGTTCCATGTTGGTTTCTACCATTACCCACATCTGTGCTGTCTTCAGATCTTAACAGTTTTTTAAAGCCCTGAGTTTTTAAGTGACAGTGCTCCTTGTCACTTCATATTATGCCAACAGGCTCCACAGCCAGCTCAGCACGGTGCTGGTGGGAGATCCCTCCTGCCAGTGCTTGTGTGTAGGCACAGTCCTAGCAAACATTGAGGACGTGTCTGGATCTCAGCTCACACCCTGTTTA